GCCTCTCAGAGGCAGTCACAACTTCTTCCAGTCTGATGTAATCCACAAATTTTATTACTATGTTACTTATACCATCATCAGTGTTATAAAATAAAATATGGGCTGGAACTAGACTGGGGAAGAATTGACTTGCTTCTCACTTACAGTAGTACATTGTTCAAAACCTCCTCACAATCTTCTTTTGAGCTATTGATGACTACACCTTGAATATGTTTTTTTAACCAGTTTTGGAACCAGGTGTGATGATTCCATCTAGACACTATCTCTTTACTTTGCTTATAGGAATGTCAGGAGTCACACTATCAAGAGCCTTACTGAAGCCAGTTAAATTATCACAGAAAAGTATTAGATTGGTTTTACATGACTGCGCTTCAATAAATATATATTGGCTGTTCATGATTACCTAATAATGGCCAATAATATACCATTAACTGCCAAACTTTTTGGACTATAGCTTAGTACAGTCCACAGTTCCTAGTTGCCCACCATACACTTCATCATCAGACTATTAATAAAGAGGCATTACTAAGGTGTTGTACATTTTAATGTTAAGTATGATTTCGTGGTCCCCTTGCTTCAACTGGAGACCACAGTTTGGGACCTGATGTTCCAGCTACTTTTAAGTTGATTGTTCAGTGAGGTGCTGTACTACCTTTCCGAGTATCAGAGACCAGCTGAATGGTCCATGATTATTTGAGTTCTGCTTTCTAGAGATAGAGTTGCCTTTTTTGCTAGATTTTTCAGTGAATGCTTTGCATTCATCCTTAATCACTTGCCTTCTTTCCTTATTGTGTTTTGGCACACAGCTAGACCGTCCTTGCTGCTAAGGGTGACTGTAAACCTCTGCTCAGAATCAGACAGGGCTGCTGTACAGGCAGGGAGAGTAAAAGTATGGCCACGGCATAGATGGACTGCAGCCTCCATAACAGCTGGGACACCACATGCACTAGGTTAACATGGGTACCTAGACAGTTGAGGTAGCTCTTTGCTCAGAAAATTGGCAACTCACAGACCACAGCTATTCTGGCATTATCAAAGAGCGGTCTAGAAGAAGCTCAGTTTCCACCCCACCTTTGTTCTTAAGTTTTCAAAACTTTTCATGCTGATCTCTGACTGTAACATCCACCTTTTCTCCGTGTTGGGGTAGCTAACTTGTTCTTTTGGTTTAGCATCTTTTAGTAGCTGTGTCTTTCCTTTACCTATTCCTAGTCATGCTGGTTTCGGCTGGGGTAGAGTTACTTGTCTTCCTGGTAGCTGGTATGGATTTGGGATGAAGATAATGTTGATAACATACTGATGTTTTTAGCTGTTGCTAAGCAGTCAAGGGCCATCCAGCTTCTCATGCTGGCCTGCCAGCGAGCAGGCTGGGGGTGCATGGGAAGCTGGGAGGGGGCACAACCAGGAGAGCTGACCCAGGCGGGCCGAAGGGGTATTCCATACCATACTACATCATGCTCGGTATATAAACTGGGGGAAAAAGAAGGAAGACGGGGACATTTAGAATTAAGGTGTCTGTCTTCACAAGAAACCATTACGCGTAATGCAGCCCTGCTTCCCTGGAGATGGCTGAACACCTGCCTGCCCATGGGGAGTGGTGAATGAAGTCCTTGGTTTGCTTTGCTTGAGTGGGCGCCTTTTGCTTTACCTATTAAACTGTCTTCATCTCAACCCATGAGTTTTCTCACTTTTACCCTTCTGATTCTCTCCCCCATCCCACGGGGGTGGGAGTGAGCGAGTGACTGTGTGGGGCTCAGCTGCCAGCTGGAGTTAAATCACAACACTAGTAGATCCTGCCAATCATTTCTGAATTGGTTCACACCAACTTTGCTGTCTTCTGTTATTCTTACTGTATTTGTTTTCTTTTCTTCTTCTAGTGATATGAAAAACATGAAATCAGTCAGTTGAACTACTCTTAAGCTTTTTGATATTCACCTTTATAGATGACAGGATTCTTCTTCCATTTTATTTTATTTTGCAGGTTCTTTCTTTGAATATTGGGGAGACACGGTAACTAATGTTGGCACTCTTGAGAAACTTATTTCCTTTCAGTTAGCTGGGCTTGCACAGGCTTTTACCAGACAGCAAAATTGGCTCTTCATCCACATGCATGCTTCCTCTTTTGTAGATGAAAATTCATACCATTTCCTCTTCAAATAGTCTGATGACCCCGTATCTGGTGTAATTCAGAGATGTGTTATATCATTGTTTACAGCAACAACTTCTGCAATACATTGTCACACAGTTTTTTACATACATTAAGCCAACATCTACTGCTACATCTATTATTTCTATCATTAACAGATACTTCTGCACAGGGTAGAAACTGACTCAAGTTTGAAGGAAAATAATAATTTTTAATAATTTGAGTTTTGTGTTACACCTTGCTACATACATTCATGATCAGATATTATGTGCAGTGAGAAGATGAGTAACAGTAACTCTGATAAACAAGCAGCTTTTCTTTTTAAAATAGGGCAAAAATAATCTAAGGAACGTACAGACTTCCTCACTTTCCCTATGTGGCTTCTTGCTTATATAATTATTGAGTAACCTTTAAAAAAATCCCATTTCTTCCTGATCTTTGGAATACCACTGATGAGTAGGAATTTCTCTTCCAAATGGATCTCTTTTCTTTCTCTATAAATCTGGCTTTCCTCTGTCTGCAATTGCTGCTGCCCTCAGATTGCAGCACTGTCCCACTCACACCTGGCATGGCCTTTTGACCTACAAGCAGCTACTTTTATGTATGCATCTTTTGTTTTAGAAATCAGACCCAATAAATACCGCTAGTACCTTTTATACCTTCTGCGACATGCCTGTCAAAGCAGAACTGCATTGAGCAGAGTTTAGGATTTTGTCATTATACTTGTTAAGAAAAGCAGTATTAAGAAATTAAGTGTCACAGAACAGGTATATTAGTCATAGAAATCAAGAGGCCACAAGAGGAGAGAAGGTGCAGACCAAACAGGCAAACTGTCCTGTGGTGTCTGGTAATTCTAAGATGCCTGTTAATGCTTGCTGTAGTTGGAAGAGAGTCTCACACGGAAGGGAAAGTCATACCTCTGTATTTTCCTGTCTCCCAGCTGGCTGCCCTGGTAGGCAGCAGGTTGGGGTTTTTTTCACTTGAAATCTGTTTAAGTGCATCTTGCTATTTTAAAAATCTTGTTCTGAACGTTCATGGTGAAATATATTGTAGATGTTTTGCTACCATTTCATGGCTGATCATTCTTAAATCGTATTAAATATTAATTAATTTGTTTCCATGAAAAATGACCAAGCTACTCTGATCACTGAATTTTCAGATTCGGTACATGCAACTGTACTATCACTCTGGTATTTCTGGAGAATTCAGTACAGGCCTCTTTCCACTCCCATTGAAATCAATTACTTAGCCCTTACGAAGTCTTTTCCTCAAATGTTCATCTGATACAGTACAGGCTGATTTTTAAATTCATGCTTTGGTTTGTCTTGTGCTTTTCAGAGCAGACAGACTGCATTATTAATATAAGTCTGGGCTTACACTGTTCAGTGAGCGGTCTTGTTTTTATCCCTTGGTCAGTTACTAGTTCACTAAAATATTTGCCTCTGTGATGTTCATTTTTCTTTCTCTGCTCTGTTATCCTGTATCGCTTTGCAGAAATAAATCTGTAAGTATTGCTGTACAGGTTGCAGTCACACTTCACTTAAAGGCAAGATTATTCTTTCTTGCATAGCCTTTCCTAGTTGCAAATAATGATAGAAATTTGTTGGAAGAGTGTCAGAGCAAAGGACTGCATCAGCTACAAGACCAGAGGAGCCTAGAATATCATCAAAATACATTTCCAGGACTGGGGCAGGAGACTAAATTGGCTGAAGTCTTGCATTTGGAATTTGTATGGGGATAATTGTAATTATAAGGATTTTTCTCTGCTTAATTAAAGGCACTCCTCTGCAGAAATAAGAAAGCAATTTACTCTCCAACCAGGCTTTGCGCAGTTCTGTCAACGAAGCTTAAGTACCCCTGGCTTTTCTGCTCTTCATCTGGTAAGTTCCGGTTTTATCTTCTTACACAGGTGTGGCATCTACATTGCTTAATGGTTTTGGGGTAAATTAAGTGATCTTCTTAAGTTGTCTTGCTTTCCACTGGCTTCAGCCTGAAGCTTTTAGAAAAGACTCCCTGGCGAGCTGAGGAAATTACGCATTGGAAAAAACAGAGAAGGGTCCTTAGAGCCTGAAACAGACAGTCTTTCTGCATACGGCTATAAATCAAAGTTAATTAGAAAGTGTTGGTGTATATTACATTCATCTCCATCAGGTAAATGCCACCACTGCGTGGTGATCACAGATGATTTGCAAAAGGAGGTCAGTGAGTAAAGAGGAAAAAAAGAAAGGTGGAGGCTCAGCTAGCTTGGCTTAATAAACAGTTTCCAGAGATAGCAGCAGAGACAGCGCACTGACCTGTTTTTCAGTGTTGTATAGTAAGCATGTTAAGCAA